GAAACGACATCTGGGTCCCTACCCTCGCACAAGATTATTCTCAATTTTCTTGTTGTGTCCACAACTATTAACAATCAATCAAAGATATTAATGAAAAATATTTCATCAAAGAATACTAATAAAAGACATTGATATAATATATATTATATAACCGTCTTAGGAAAAATACGAAATAACTGATCATGGATCACGTTATTCATTTTTACAGAACATGTGGGATTGCTCAATACAACCTGATATACTGTGTATATATAATGTGAAAGAAATTGTAATGATCAAAATTATGGAAAGATCAAGGATTGAATGAGTAAAAACTCATATCTAGCGCTCGCTCTCATATCTAAATGTTTTGTTATCACTAAAGACACGTCACCAATCACAATAACAAGGATATTATACAATACCCAACGAAGAGCTAGCAACTATATCCGACAGCTGCGGAGAGTGGTAACGGAAGCGAAATATTTAACTTTATAATTGGTTTGGGGGAGCTGTAAACCAATTATCTAATCACCTCGAAGTAAAAAGAGGAATGCGTCTAAACTCGGACTTGAAATGATATATGATTTAGTTAAGATACGTCAAGAGGTAATCGGATGATCTGATGAATCACTTTACACTCGACTACCAGGTTTTTTGTTAGGGACTGGCCTAAACTCCAAAGTACCAGCCATTACCTGGGGACCCCATGCTATAATGTTCATGAACAACCGCCGCGAATATATAGATTCAACGGAATGATCATAGGCTGAGCGCCGCCTTGATTCACGATGTCAATCCTTCGCAGCTCGGTGAGGCACAGTGGTGCATCTCGCCGATCTACCGAAGTGGTTGCGAGAAGCATTATTTGATGCGCGCGCGACCCAGTAGTGCATCGCGCTACAAAGCGCCGCCCAGTAAACCAGCCAATGTTTACTCAAAAATATATAAAATGTAATAATTATTATCAATTACAAGTCAAAAAATCACACAAGATTAAATATTGTGACTTACTTAAAGTTAAACACGTTTTTTAGAAATAAATGGCCCTGAGGGATTATCCAGATCCAAACCCTTTACTCTGACCCCAATCATATTCCTAACTAGATTCTTATCTGGAGTATATACTTATAGTTATACTAATAGTAATAGTTATATGCTAAAACCCTAAGGCTAACCATAACTAAACGACCCGTGCTATATCTCCTCCGAAAGCACATCCAATTTGATACGTAGGAAATATTTGAATAACTTGCTTTATTTTGTACGTTGACGTCATGTTTAGGATACCAAAATCAAAAATTGAACGGAGAATAGTTAAAGATCAAAGATCGAATGAGTAAAAACTGTATTTACTTTTAGTTTTAGCGCTCGCTCTCATATCTAAATGTCTTGTTATCACTAAAGACACGTCACCAATCACAATAACAAGGAATATACAATACCCCATGAAGAGCTAGCAACTATATCCGACAGCTGTGGAGACTGGTAACGGAAGCGAAATATTTAACTTTATAATTGGTTTGGGGGAGCTGTAAACCAATTATCTAATCTGTAATCACCTCGAAATGAGGAATGCGTCTAAACTCGGACTTGAAATGATATATGATTTAGTTAAGATACGTCAAGAGGTAATCGGATGATCTGATGAATAACTCTACACTCGACTATCAGGTTTGTTTGTTAGGGACCGGCCAAAGTACTATAGCCAATGTTATGTTTACTCAAAAATATATATAATAATTATTATCTATTATTATTAAAAGTCAAAAACTCATACAAGATTAGATATTGTGACTTACTTAATGAGTTAAACACGTAATTCTTTAGAAATAAATGGCTCTAAGAGATTATTCAGATCCAAACTCTCTACTCTGACCCCTGCAATCTTATTCCTAACTAAATTCTTATCTGGAGTATCACAGTGCTGGCAAGCACGACCGTTGCATTTATTGTGGGTATACTATGTTCCCCATTTACTATTATACCCCCTTTACTATTATACCCCCTTTACTATTATACCCCCTTTGGTACACGTTACAAGCCTCTTTTGTGCACGCGAAGCGTGCACTGCGGCCGGAGGCGGCGGCCGAAGGCCGCCGCCTCCGGCAGGAGTTTTCCAGGCATTAAGACTCATCGAAAGTCGTTAAGCAGAATTATTTTTAGTTCAAAACATTCTAATTTGATGTCAAAGATGACAGGAATAAAAAATAGTTATGTTGAGATTTTTAAGAAATTTGCATAAAATACTCGCCAGCACTGTTATACGAAATTCGGTAAAAAACCCAAAATCGCCATATTCAGGTGCCTTAAAAACCATGTTAAAATTGAGTTAGAGATCTGAAATTTTTCAGGGCGTCTAGACGTTGATCAAATCGACTGCAAAAAAAGTTTCAGGTTTCAGGAGTATCGGGAAATGGGTTTTCTAGAACCCCTGTTTTACGACAGATTGTCGTGATATATATATATATATATACATACATATTCAGGGATAGACGCTTTGCCAGTCAATTGTAGCCTGTATTTAATTGTCCATAGATTCAAAAGTATAAAAGATAAAGCCATTTCCGACCACAGGTCTTGCAAATAATTGTTTACACTTTAGTTTACATTGTATACAAAAATTATTTGACGTCATAAACACCCCTTGATGACGTCATCAAGTTAACCGTTTTTAAAACTTGATTTTTGACAAAGTAATAACTTTTACAATTAATTTTAAACCATTAAGGAGTAATTTTATTCAAAATCTGAGGAGATTTTCACCTTAGATAATTGTTCAAGCATTCTGAAAATCTACCGGAAAGTTTTTCTAGCTTGCTCCTTCATAAAGATATTCGTCATTGAAGTTTGTGCTTTTTTGAAGAATTATTTTATAAAAACGTCAATTTTGCGATTTAGTATTCTCTGGTGTTGGGCCATGCCTTGAGTTGAGGAGCTCAGTTCTGCTTCCTATAGGTATAAATTGTGCATTAGGCTAGTTTTGAAGTTGAAAATCGAAAAGTTGCACACGTGGGGACACGCCCAAATTGATAGAAAATTGCTAAAATCACTGAAAATTGCTGTTTTCGTCATTTTCGGTCAACTTTAGAGTGCCGTTGTGATTACAGTTCTTCTTGAAATACTTTGAAACTTTGCATGCTTATCAAGCTATATATAAAACAATTACATGAAAAAATTTACGGCGATTCAATATTGGATGCGCACGCAACGTCCGCTCAAAGTTTGCACGTGCGAAAGGTGAGAATTTTGCTCATTCGTGATTTCCAACAAATTCTGCTTTGCCACGACAGTTTAATGTCATTATATATGAATTTAATGCCAACTTGAATGAGTATTAGGTGGCATATTCAGTCAGTGATCGACCGATATGCTTACCTAAACACAAGGAAATGTTTTTAAAGGAAAATTTCGAAATCGTTGAAACTTCCTCCTTATTAATTAATGAAGATATCAGTTTATATTTCGACTTTATAAAGTACCCTGACATTATAATCAAAAAGAGATGATATTTTACCAAAACCCATATTCATGGGTAGAGTGGACCGCTGCCAGTGTCTCTCTTTCCCAAACAAAAGGAAATGATATTAATTTGATTGACCGTTCTCAAATGCAAAATGATACCGAGAATGAAATCGGTCGCTCGCTTTTCCCATTCATTTACAATTGTAATAGATTAAGAAGATCTACCCAAAGGCAGCTGTACTCGGCAATAAAGATTCAATAAACTTCAGCTAATTCAATAAGCAATAACTACTACCCTTACCCCGAAATACTAGGTATCGATCCGAACGCAACCCAAAGAGATTTTTACAGCATCTGACTGATGTAATCAATCGAAATTTATTACAATTCGTAAACCGTGAATGAATGGAAAAAGCGAGCGACCGATTTCATTCTCGGTATCATTTTGCATTTGAGAACGGTCAATCAAATTAATATCATTTCCTTTTGTTTGGGAAAGAGAGACACTGGCAGCGGTCCACTCTACCCATGAATATGGGTTTTGGTAAAATATACTTATACTTAAAGTTATATGCTAAAACCCAAACCATAACTAAACGACCCGCGTTATATCTCCACCGAAAGCACATCCAATTTGATACGTATGTGGTATGAAATATTTGTGTAACTTGCTTTATTCTGCACGTTGACGTCATATTTATGCCAAAATTGAACGGGGAATAGTTTAAGATCAAAGATCGAATGAGTAAAAACCGTATTTAGTTTTACTTTTAGCGCTCGCTCTCATATCTAAATATCTTATTTATATCACTTGAGACACGTCACCAATCGCAATAACAAGGATATATAATAGTTAACGAAGAGCTAGCAACTTGAACTATATAAGACAGCTTTGGACCCAGAAAATTTTACTGGCTGGCCGTGTTACTAAAGGTGGTCATTTTTCAATAGCACGTTTGTCAGCGCGTGACGTAAAGTTCGCTGATCGCACGCTTACCTGGGGACCTCATATCAGGCTATTAGTATTATATTTATGTTCATAATCATAGAGATTCGGCGGAATGACAGGCTGAGATCGGCCCAGTAAATCGCACGCGTGTTACAATCTGAATTCAGCCATGAAGTCATGCATGGCAACTTCATTGATTTGCAAAGTTAAAAAGCTGCGATCTTTTATTTGGCCCAAAATCATACTTTTCAGGATAACTCAAAATCTACGTTGTCTTCAATTTTCCTCCTGGGGAGGTAACCTTAGTTTTACGAAACGAACTTTTGTTGAAAACCAGACGTTTCTATCTCTTTTATTTTTAAAGTTAGGCTCCTACCAGTTAGGTTTTCTGGGTGCAGTATCATCATTAAACGAGAACAGAGAAACGGATATTATATAATTTTTTATCACGTCGTGACCCCCACGCGACGGTCGTTTCACTATGGTAGAGTTTCTACGATACAGGGGGAGCCGCGCAGTCGTGTGCGGCGGGTCATACAACGTATGACAAATATAATCATGATGGAGTAATTGAATCTAGTTCAAACTCAAGGAAAACAACCTGGATAAAACTTGGATTTAAAACAACTAAAATGGGATAATCAAATACAGCATGGTTAACACAAATAAATAATTAAACTTGTACAAACGCAAAATCATAAATCTACTCAAACATGCAATACGTTACATAAAATTTCCTAAACAGCCATGTCTATTACCGCAGGAAAGTTTGTAATATCAACGTGCTTCAACATTTAATGGTAGTTATTGAAAAGCACAACTCAAAAATATTTAGTATTCTAAAAAATCAAACTGATCATGATGTGTATGGATAAATCATGCAATAGAACTTATATTAAAGAATATTCAATAAAGAGCTTTCAGAGAAAAAGGTTTAGCAGGATGAACAGTGAACGTAAAGTTTAAAGAAGTCTGTGAAACGCCTTATTGTTTAACATTTAAAATCATGAAAAATCGTTATTAAAATATCTACAATCTACAGTTTGAGTCATCGAAAAGAACATGAGATTATAAATTAAAGCATGAACGAAAAAGTCACCCAGTTTTGAGTTTGACCAGCAAGTATAATAAAATAACTAACTTAATGCCACGTGATTTAAAGAACGTACACTGCATTGCTCAACATCGCGTCTTTTTGTTTTAGGCTTGAATTTCTAAGCAAACAGTATACTTTGTACTTATGTATTTTTATTCATCTTGAGAAAATCTGGACCATCCCGAAGAATTTTCTCTGGGATCTAGGGTATTCGCTGAACTGGCGAACTGTATTGCTTGTGACTTCTTAGATCGTCTCAAGTTTGGTCGAGACACAAGGATTTCAGCTTCAAGGATGGTTAAAACCAGGGAAATCAGTTTTGATGTTATGCTGATCAGCGAATTGGAGCAGCATCGCCAGTTTCTGGTTCATCTCGGCTGTATTCCGGCTCACTTTTTCTGACTCCTGATCTTGGCACGCTAACTGAAATAGGATAAGGTTTAATCACCAGGATTTAACTCGTTATCGTTGGCCCTTTTGGAACTACTAAAATACAGTGGCATATACTCAACCTTCTAAACTAAAATCAACATTTCCAATTTTTCACACCATGCTCCAAGCTACTCTAAATGCAACATTCAAGAACTTTCATTCCCCTCTAATAACTCAATACCCCCCCCCCCCCCCCACTAAAAGTTATGTTACAGAATCGCTCAGTAAACTAATCCACTTAACAGTTTGAAAAGTAATCCAATTAAAGTATAAAGACTGTCTACAGTTAGTCTGCATACCAAGGTCAAGGAAAAATAAACGTCATCTAGATGATAACTGGAGTTTTATTGTTTAATTGAATGAACCTGCAGTCTGGTTTTCATGAAAAAACTACACTCAAGTTTCCTAGAGTGGAAGAGGCTGGAATGGCATTAAAACAAACGTGCAAAACATAGTAACAAACAGTGAAGTCACACTACGTGACGTCACAATCTCGTGATGTCACTGTGACAGAAACTCACCTCTTGTTCAAGCTCGGTGATTTCCTCTTCCAGTACTGAGATGGTCGCGACACGCTTGTGTCTGCTCAGTTTAGCGTATGTTCTGTTCTTAAGCCGGCGTCTCAGCTGTTTTAATCTCACCACCTGGACACATGATAACATTAAACTCTCGGTACCGATTACTAACGTCATATACCTATATTTTTCAAAGTGAGTTGTCCAACAAGAGTTTTCTTAATGACAATACTAAGAGTTTATTACCAGGTCTATAAAAATGATATTTCCAATGAAAGTTCTCTTTACCTCGGTCCTGTTCATTCCCCGGAGCTGTTTGTTAAGATCCTTGATACTCAGGTTAACCAGAGTGCTGATATCCATTGGACCTCGTGATGTCGCACACTCGGGGCTTTTCTGTATAGAAGACAAAGATTGGATAAACGCAGTAATATATAAACAATGTTTAAATTAACGGTTTCGTTCGTATAAATGAGATAAGAATATCGAATCGTTACTTTTGAAACGGATAAATATATACTCAATACACTTAACCGTACCGGTAAGGGTTTGAAAGAAGGTTGTTTGTACATCTGATCAAGATTTGACTGTTGTCTGAGCAAGTTCAGTATCTCTGGTGTTAGCGTAATCTTTGGAGGCGGACTGAGCGAGGGTATCAGAGTCGGAGATACCTGCGAAATTATTAGTTTAAGTTGTAGGCAACGTGTATGTAGCGGAATCGGAAAAGTGTTCGCTCCTTTTAACCATCATGTCAATCAGTCGAATAAAGAAGGCGACATTAATACATACGTCATACATGTATATTGCATATATACAGAAACTCAAAATGAACCAGAAAGACATTAAAAAGTAAGAACGGAAAGAATTACTCAATTAAAAAAACAGCATCATAAATTAAATGTCCTACCGATAGCAGTTTAGGAGTAAAACTCTTGGGTTCAGGAGGAGAAAGAGGTCGGTTGAAGAAAGCAGGATTAACCCGGTTGAGGTCGAGAGTAAAGTTCCATGGCTGCATGAACTGTAAGAAATTCCTTGGCGGAGCCAAGACCGCTGGACGGGGCGGAATCATTTGAAACGCACTCGTCGTCATTTTTTACTAAAAATAACGATGTTAGCTCATCTTTTACAAAACTTATTTATTCCATTTGAATTTTCAATTGAATTTATTTTATTGGATATTTATTCACCTTTAGTCCAGTATTACGATATTTTCAATCATAATTCCAACAATTGAACTATGGCAAATTTTGTGGTTTAAGTTTTGCGTTTTTACAAGTGAAAAAATTACTTAAATTATTTTTACCAAATAACTAAAAAACAAATCAAATATTCAGATCGTTTCAAACTAGCAGAAGTGCCCGGCAATAAAAAAGTTAAACAAAAAATTATAACTTAAAAAGTGGTTAACACAAATAAGGCATGATGAACCGTGAAAATGGTGCAACTGAAAGTATCTAAAGTCAACCTAGTCTTATATATCATGTTTATGGTCTGAGCCAATAACAGCACGGTAACGCGTGACACATCGCGACGTCACCAGGACTAGGAAAATTCAAAATAGTAACGGGGGTATTAATAATTTTCTCCAGATATTAGCCTAGTTAATTGGGTGCCAAGCGAGAATTGACCTACAAATTTGAGCGACCAATCAGAGAGATGTGCTTGTGGCGGAGAACCAATGGGAAGTGAGGATTACTCCTTCAACAAGTGCTCATTAAGAGCGGGCTGGTAATCTGGACAGAGTTACAAGTAGAAGTGTGATACGGATACGTACCTATTGATCCTAATGAATTGTTGTATAAGAGGAGGTGGTCGCGAGCATGATAAGGTTTCTTGGGACTAGCCCCAAACTTAACAACCGGAAAAACCATTAAATTAAGTTCCCCCAACACCCTTAAACCCAAGAAATTTGACCTCCTCAGCTTCGAAACATTGCAAGTTGAAATAATTCGTTTTTCTATTCAGTAATTATGGCTGGCAAGATGGGATTGCTGGTCGGATTAATTGGCAATGTCCTGGCGCCAAGCATTCCCGGACAATAATCAGGAAATTCATCAACCGATATAAAATTACAGAGCGAACCGATATCCGCAACATTAATCTCACTCCGACTCACTGCTAAAATATCATTAAAATGCTAAAAAAAGGAGCACATGAAATGTCTATTTCCAAATGAACTATGGTCGGTCTGGTGCAATGTGAAATCTAAATCTAAAATTGTCGTCTGAAAGTCTACTGTTCAGTCATTCGTTAACTCAGATTTCTCAAAGTAAATTCAGTAAAATTCTCGCTGCTCCTTCAGCATACCAAATGCATCCTCTTCATATAAAATACTGCTCCTCCGTAAAAACTGTTGCTCCTTCATAAAAACACCGTATGGTGATTGGTTACCTGTTTTTAGAACGTTCTTCTACATGCGTTACTGTCACGTGTTACTGTCACGTGAGTATATATAAGGAGTTATCCGCCGGTGAAACATATCCGACACTGATAAAGATAATATCAACTATAGTCCACACTCCTAGACCTCCGAACCTGAAACGGAGTTAAGGTGAAGATAAGCAAACTTAATGTTTAAAAAGGCTGTCTTAAAGTTAAATGACCGTCAACTGGCTATCCCGTGAAATGAAGCTAAGTAGTTTTTAAAGGTTTTTGTAAACCGTCAACTAATAGCTAACTCAATTTCAAAGAAGGCTAACTACGGCTAGCTAAACGTTTACTAAAGGTCAACTAATGGATAACAAAAGGTTAGAAAGCGGTTGAAGGCCAGCTAAAGCTTAACTGAATATGTTAACTAAAGTTTAACTATATGTTAACTGAAGATCAACGAAAACATAACTAAAACTTAACATACGAGAACAGTTTGCCGAGACCCTCTCTCCAGTATCCCAGGTAGAATCTATCAGCTCCGAACCCTCCAAGGGTGATAGACAGGATCAGTGCAGTGCTCCAGCTTTTACCTGTAGTAGTTAAGGTCAGGACTAAACTTAAACTTTTATTTTACTCAAGCGACCAATTCACTTCTCTAGATATTATATTCTATAATTGTACTGTGATGAAATATTTTAACGAGTGTCCAGCGCCGGAGAGAGCAAAAAATATTGGAATGAGAAGGAGCCTCAGAATTCGATAAATTGGAATGCAAATTAAAATTCAAATGTAGAAGTATACTCTAGTACCAGCAACAGCCAACAGATAATCAAACTGAAAGATGAAAATTATAGAATTTCATAGTAAACTGCAGTCATACAGTACCGGTTGTAAAACTGCAGGTAACTTTTCGAGAGAAGATGCGGGGCGGCTTGCAGATAACCTCATGGTTCACCTGAGGAATGAGGGTAGGAATGTGACAATGATTTAAAAGCAAAGTTCTGAAGAAATCTACCTCAAGCTCCGGATCATTAATTGGCAGTTTAAAATTCTTCAAATATAGTGAACCGCGAACTAAAAGGTGAAATCAGAAGGGTGGTTTGGTTGGTGGTTGAGATGATTGCAAGAAATCTCACCTCGCAGCTGACTTTGATTTTACGAGATCTTCTGTCTGAACTCTTAGGATTACATTCGTGGTTATCATTCTTACACGTGTAATACTTCTCATCCATCTGAAGTGGCGGTTATAATGATGGCGGTTATATTATAATGGTTGTTAAAATATAATCAGTAAAGAAAAGGGAATTAGTTGTCGGCGGTCGCAAAAAACCTAGCAACAACTTTGGAGCCGAATCACAGTTACCATTTTCTAATTCTTGATCACAAAATATCGACGTTCAATGATGAATGATCTAAATAAGTTTAAAATGCTAGCCTGGAAGCAGTATTTGCACTGAGATTCCCTGGACAGCTCGTCTTTGCATTGTTCGGGGATGAGATGCTCGCATTCCGGCGAATATGATATACTGAGAAGTGATCCAATGATTTCTTGGTAAATTTTTCTAGTTATCAGGAAGCTAATTAATTAATCAATCAATTTACGAACGGAGAGGTGAAATTGTATCACAACAAAGTACAGAAGAACAAAAATAAAACCCCACAAAACTGCTCACTTGAAAGTGACGTTAGCCCCGTAGTGACAACTTTCGTAGGTTTCGGAATGTTTTTCGATTGTGAAGCAGCTAACTGGAATCATATCACAAGGTAGCTCGGGGTCCTGTAGATGAATCTGAAAATATTGTCATTAAATTAACGATTTGAGCGATGCGATATTGTTCATATCTGGGACGGAAAAACATAATTTCAGTAGATTTAAATTAGAAAGAAACACTAAATACAATTAGTAAGATTGTGTAACCTATCTCAATTATCTTCACATGATTGGGATGCCACAACTCATAACATCAAGCAAATTGCAGAGTCTGGTCTAGTAATGGTCAAAGCTAAAACAGAACGTACCTTGCAAGGTTCTGGACAAGCCGAGTCGTCTCCCATAGCAACTGTTGCTAGGCAGCAGATAACAAACAGTGCAGAGTTGCTCATCTGAAAATAGTTTCATTTGAAAATTCAAAACTAGATATTAAGGAGCTGGGATTGTCAGTATGTAGTGTCCGTCGGATCAGTCTGAAATTGTCAGTCATCTGGCGGAATCTCACGAGTGAGATTTATGGGCGGATTTAAGTAAGCTACGGATATCTCTGTCCCAATTCTTTTGGAAAATTTGTGGAAAATAGGAAATATTCGTGTTACGAAAAGAAGCGTGCCAGAAGGAGCTATTAGAAGCTATTAGAATGTGTTAAAGAGCATAAATTATACGATACAAAACACAATTAATGGCTTAAAGCTGGAGTTAAACGCCAATCCAAGGCGACTTAAACCGTATCGCGTAAGATTAAGTCATGCATTTTCCCACGTAGACCGCACGATATGCGTGTAATGGCATTGTCGCGCACACCACGAGCTTTGCACGTGGGCGAATATATGGTCACGTGACCGTTTTCTGGAGTCACGTGCTACATTGAGTTCTGTATAACTACTAAATGCCATTGTGATAAGAACTTCATGCGTGGGAAATACTAAGCAGGAAAAAATGTCACATAGCCTTTCGACCCCCCGATATTCTGGTGGGGGATGTACTGGTAGAAATTTGTACAATTTTTAACCTTTGAAAAATGAGTTAGATCTTAATTTGCCAAATTTCCAACACATTGAGTAAGTGGGTAGAAACAAATTCTAGAAGGTCGAATAAATTTATGCCCTATCACAAACAAAACGGACATTGTATCTTCTATTCACCAATATTCAGTTTTCATACTAGGATCAGAATCTGAACAGTGATTTCCAGAGAGAAATTTGTATTTTCACGTTCGACCGCATTTTTAATCACTGCACTACTTTTCGTAACTCATTTCGATCAATATTAAAATCATACACCCATTTACTTCCCAAAAATATCTGGCCAAAAATTATCGAAACCCTAAAACATCGCTGTGCATGAAAAAAAAACTCCAATTGCTCTTAATTGTTCTAACGGACACCCCAAGTTGTTCCACTCAGTTCCAGACGATTGATCCCCATTAGTCCATTAACGGTCGTAGTGGGGCGTGACACAATTCCCAAACTCAGACACTACAAATTGCTAGCACGCTCCAAGCCGCACGTGCGTTGCCAGGGCAACACGTGAGGGGGCCCTGCTCCAGGGCTCAATTACCAGGAAGTGCCACTTATCTCTGGGCTAGAGGTTTTTACTGTAAATGTAGTGCCCTGATTAATCGGGCTTGATTGATTGATTGAGCCCTAAGTTGTGGGATATGGCAGTACTTCTTGCATATTCGAGGGATCTTATTGGTCTAGAGGGATGATACTTGTTTTTGATTGGTGGGTGTTACATTGGTAGCTGTTAGAGGGTGATGATTAATTCTACTTCAGGGTTAGGTGACACTTAGTGTAGGGAGTTGTAGCTGAGCTGTGAAGCAGTGTTATTATGAAGAGAGGGGGGAGGTATAAATAGGAAAACCGATCATTTTTTGGTTGGATGTAAATAATCATGAAGTAATTGAATAATCCCAGTACTCCTATTTATCTATGTATTCCAAAGACTCTATTTCTTGTTTTTTTAAACTTATGGATAAGAAAAGCTAAATTAGGTTGTTAGTTAGAAATTGCTAAATTTTCGCAATAAGATGCCTCGTCACCCAAACTGTTAATGAATCTACAATTTATTCTCAACAGAACAAGTGAAGTCCACGCGAAGTTAATCACGGCATCTTCCTTTACTTCCGCAAATACAGCAACTCTGCACGTGCGACACCGTTACTATGGTTACCAATGCAAGTTCCTGTTTACGCTCTGTAAATTTTCACGATTACTGATGGTTTAGAGTCAATGGATTCGATGAAGCCCTACTAATAGTTAGTGAGGAAAATTAATTTATATCCCGGCCCTGCCAACATCTCTCCAGGATTGCTTAATTTTACAGCGCGCTTAAAATTTAATTGAGCTTATCCTATTGATTATTAGGTTGAATTACTGAGCGTGGTTCACGGATATGGACTGGAAGCCATCAAACTTAGCTCCACGAGTCTCAATAGGATAACCGAAAGCAATTTATTAGATGCCCAACAAATTGATAAATGATAAATTAATTGTCAGCTTTGTGGTTGAAAATTTCAGTTAGGATGCATGGCTGAATAGCTAGTTTATGCAGTACTTCTTAATGTTCAAACTTCAGACCTTCAATTATTTCCACCGAATTATTCGTTAAAAATGTTTAAATAATTTTAAATTGATATAGTAAAAACATGCAACATTGAAACCTTAGGAAAGGACAATTATTTTTATTTTTCATTCAATCATGGTGAACTTATTATTAAATAGTAATATTAAATGGTTCAACGCATTAAAGAAGCGGGGATTGTGGCGACCTTTAGTATACAAGGAACTGATGTTTTTAGTAAGGTGCACTTTCGGTAAAATGGGAAAAAATTACAATTTTTAAAAACACAACTTTTTCAGAAACTCTGTCCAGGTGAAAATGGCAAAAACGGTGAGACAATTTTCGGCATAGACTCTTTTGATCAACATGATAGTATGTTGCGTGGTCATAGCAATGGAACTGCTGAAAAAGTCAAAACTGCATTTCCATGCAAACGAGCTAATATACTGCTTTTCGACCAGAAAGCAGCTTGATCAATTGTTTAGCAACACAAATCTTCACATTGGGAAGGGGATTATTAAAACTATTGGATAGCGAATACCTCTCGCATTTTACATTAGTCGTGTTTCAAACACAAGGAAATAATTTTTGTACATTTCCGTTGTATTCCGTACTTTTGCACAAGCTTCTTGTTTAACCTAACACGCCAGATCACTGAAGCTAGTACTAAACAATCAATTGTTTCTTTTGTTCAGAAACTCTGTCCAGGTGAAAATGGCAAAAACGGTGAGACAATTTTCGGCATAGACTCTTTTGATCAACATGATAGTATGTTGCGTGGTCATAGCAATGGAACTGCTGAAAAAGTCAAAACTGCATTTCCATGCAAACGAGCTAATATACTGCTTTTCGACCAGAAAGCAGCTTGATCAATTGTTTAGCAACACAAATCTTCACATTGGGAAGGGGATTATTAAAACTATTGGATAGCGAATACCTCTCGCATTTTACATTAGTCGTGTTTCAAACACAAGGAAATAATTTTTGTACATTTCCGTTGTATTCCGTACTTTTGCACAAGCTTCTTGTTTAACCTAACACGCCAGATCACTGAAGCTAGTACTAAACAATCAATTGTTTCTTTTGTTCAAGTGGGTGATCTTTAAAATGTTGGTAAACTCGAAACTGTTTGAACAACTTCACGGTGAATCCCTAATGTATTCAGTTACTTGCCTGTATTCGACTGAAACAGTTAGTCTCACTCGTAATACCATATCAGGGGAGAATTCTCTCAATCTATTAACTTTTCTAATCTTATAAATTTCATCGACTTTTCCACCATGGTATTTGGTAATGTTTCTCATCATTTTGTCATGACATATTAATAATGGCTATTCTAACATAGACGTGGGTAATTGGGGACTAGGAGAGTGGAGCACGCTGTTTTAGTCGCGTGACGGCTATCAAACTAATCTGATGTAGGCCTCTACCAACAAAATCTTATAAATTGCTGACAGGAGGCCTCCCTATGTGCATAGACCCAGTCATATTATTTCGGAGATGGCAGCCAAAAGTAAAGCAACAAATTGTTTGGCAACTTTCCGTCCGCCGTTCTACGAGGCAAGATTTTATATGAAACTACTAATAAGAAACAGACATGATACAGAATTTGTTGTTTGCAGTTTGTTTACTGTTTATCATAATCTTTCGGGATTTTTATATGCAGCTCTCTGTACTAAAAAACATTCCACTGGTTTGCACATTTGATTGCACAAAATTGCTGCTATTTGATATTTCCTCCCAGTAAATTATAGAAGGGGTTCTGATAAAAATTATGAGGTGATGATGATAATTGCACCTCATTATATAATTGCGCAGCTAAATAGTAAATTAAATAAAGTCACGTGTAACAAGTCTTGCCAGCTGTTTCACACATTAGCTGAATGTCATTTGGCGATCGCGCGCAAAGTTTGTGTTATTGGTCTGCTTAAAAAGGAGTGGCTAGGTTTAAAATGTCAAAAGGAAGAACGAATTAATATAACGGGCCAAGACGATAAACAAGTTTGTTATTTTGGCAGTAGGGTATCACGAGTAATATAAAACAGTAATCAGTGAAATTTTTAATAAAAGCTTAAACTATACCAAGTTTCGACCACAGATAAAATGCTAAGACCGGCAGAATCATCAAAAAAAAGAAATAGTCCAAATTTGAGATTATCTCACTGCATGTTACTTTGATAAATGTCAAAGCACTATTTCTCGGAGAAATAGAAACTCTAGAAATCGTAATTCTGCCCGTACAATAGTCTATATTAATGGGATCTTGAAGCACAAGTCACAAGTTCCCTTTATTGTACAATATTTGCAGAATCTCATGATAGAATTTTGTTTTATATGTCACGGTCCCCTGAGTCCACATTCTGTTGACGAACAATGGAAAAATAAATCCATTCAGTTGGTTATTCCTTCTGAGAAACGTTCGATGAAAGGTGGCATCAGTCAATTTAGAAAGTTTCACAAAAGTTAACTTAATAAACGTTCTGATCGATAAATAAATTAAGTATTATTTAACAAGCTAAGTAGCTTACCTCTTTGCAAATAATGAACTGGAGTAGCTGATCTCTTTTTTACATTGTGCCTAGCAATATGTTTAAAATTATTTTCAAACGATTTGTTAATTATGATAAGAATTCTCCAAAGTTTAATATGTTCAAGATGAGAAATTTCTTAGTCATGTCCATTCATGTTTTTGTATTTTTAACCATCAATTGAATTTCGAGACGGCATGAATATCCATTTAGAAATATAAAATAGTTAATTAATAATTATGTATATATATAAATACTTAATTTGGCGATTAATATTTTCTTAAATGAGTTTGTTGTCTTTACGTTGTCTTAATGTTGTCTTATTGTTGTCTTAATGTTGTCTTAATGTTGTCTTAATGTTGTCTTAATGTTGTCTTAATGTTGTCTTAATGTTGTCTTAATATTGTCTTAATGTTATCTTAATGTTGTCTTAATGTTGTCTTAATGTTGTCTTAATGTTGCCTTAATGTTGTCTTAATGCTGTCTTAATGTTGTATTAATATTTTATCATATTTTGTTGTCTTATCGGTGTTTGTTGTCTTAATGTTGTCTTATTATTGTTTTAATGTCGTTTTTTTGTTGTCTTAATGTTGCCTTAATGTTTGCTTTAATGTTGCCTTAATGTTGTTTTAATGTTGTCTTATCGTTTGTTGTCTTATTGGTGTTTGTTGCGTTAATGTTGTTTTAATGTTGTCTTATTGTTGTCTTAATGTTGTCTTATTGTTGCTTCGGTGTTCGTTCTAGTGGCCTACTTTTTTGTCCAGAAATACAGGGTGGGCCAAAAGTCAGTACCCATACGTTGGCCTTAATAGCTCCGCCGTGTTTTATATTTGAGAGCTGTTGCTTTGCAGATGGCATACTGTACTTACTGGTTCGAGGATTCCGTCGTCAAAATTTGAAAATTCGAATATTTTAGACCACGCCCATTCAATATTAAAACACCTATATTGTTTTCTCTGAACATGCTGAACGCCTGATTTTTTCCGAGACGGTAGATTATCAAATGTTGCATATGATCTGAAAACATGAGGCAAAACGGATTAGAAATGACGAAGTTATCAAGCATTTTCTGTATCTCGTTAACAATATTGACTGGATGATTATGTGACACCGTGACACGACACCTTAATTGGGCACCCTTAACAATTCCCATAATGTTTAACGGGGTAGTTAACGGGGGAACCTTATCACGTGATTAGGTAAACCAATCACCTGATCACACGTAATGAATAAACTCGTTATGCTTCATATCTCGGTCATCTGAGAAGCTACAGTTCTAATTCTTTCAGGACAAACGTAATTCGAATGGCCAAACACAATTCAATAACATTTAGCTTGATCCGACTATCCAAACTATCAAATAAATGTGAAAATGAACCTCCATTTGAAAAAAATGAACGCGAATATTTTTCGAGTTGACAAATTCCTCGAACCAGTGGTGGTACTAAGTCATACCAGAAAGAAGTATTTAAATTGGGCACTCAGTGACTGAGCTATAAAGGCCAACGTATGGGTACTGACTTTTGGCCCACCCTGTAGTATTAACAAACGAATACAATTGCCTATAAGTTAGCTTTGCGAGTAAAATTTATAATATTGATCATAATAACGTGACAATATAATACTCATTCAAAACAATTTGCGGATTTGGATCATCAACATCAAACGATCTTTGACTTGCACTGTTTGAATATGTTTTGTACACAATTGGTTATTTATAAACTTAAAAGTAACGTCTCCCAAAATGTTAGCCTAATTTAAAGAGTTTAAAATAACTCTACAAATCGATAGAAGGCAAGAATAAATCAAATGGATTCTGAATAGAAATATTAAAATGTGTGCAAAATGTTAGTTTTGGCGGATTTTATTTGTTAAAGGATGAGGGGACCTTAGAATTTACTTCCAAATATTCGCGTTTAAGTCCTGTGAAAGTGTACACACTTTCACACTTTCACAGGACTTCTACACGTAGAATCAAAAAATACGCCGGACTGTGAAATCGATAACAATTCCCATAATGTTTAACGGGGTAGTTAACGGGGGAACCTTATCACGTGATTAGGTAAACCAATCACCTGATCACACGTAATGAATAAACTCGTTATGCTTCATATCTCGGTCATCTGAGAAGCTACAGTTCTAATTCTTTCAGGACAAACGTAATTCGAATGGCCAAACACAATTCAATAACATTTAGCTTGATCCGACTATCCAAACTATCAAATAAATGTGAAAATGAACCTCCATTTGAAAAAAATGAACGCGAATATTTTTCGAGTTGACAAATTCCTCGAACCAGTGGTGGTACTAAGTCATACCAGAAAGAAGTATTTAAATTGGGCACTCAGTGACTGAGCTATAAAGGCCAACGTATGGGTACTGACTTTTGGCCCACCCTGTAGTATTAACAAACGAATACAATTGCCTATAAGTTAGCTTTGCGAGTAAAATTTATAATATTGATCATAATAACGTGACAATATAATACTCATTCAAAACAATTTGCGGATTTGGATCATCAACATCAAACGATCTTTGACTTGCACTGTTTGAATATGTTTTGTACACAATTGGTTATTTATAAACTTAAAAGTAACGTCTCCCAAAATGTTAGCCTAATTTAAAGAGTTTAAAATAACTCTACAAATCGATAGAAGGCAAGAATAAATCAAATGGATTCTGAATAGAAATATTAAAATGTGTGCAAAATGTTAGTTTTGGCGGATTTTATTTGTTAAAGGATGAGGGGACCTTAGAATTTACTTCCAAATATTCGCGTTTAAGTCCTGTGAAAGTGTACACACTTTCACACTTTCACAGGACTTCTACACGTAGAATCAAAAAATACGCCGGACTGTGAAATCGATAATTCGTGCAATATCACGCCGCGCTCCTATTGGCTGATAGCAATTTTGGGCTGTGACGTCACTTATGTGTTAAGACCAACGTGCGCGCGCACCCTTTGCTCGTGTCAACATTTTGTTCTGTTCTGTTTTAATTACGTCGTGTTACCTTTGGCGTTTGCGAGAGCGGTATCTTTGGTTGCACTGAATTAGTCTAAGTTACGAATAATTCTCTTTAATAATAATAGTTAAATGTAACTCAGAAAGGCTTTCTTGTAGTTGTAGTAGGTATTTCTATTTATAAATAGCTAAGATAAGTAGCATCCGCTAACTAAACCACAAACTGCTATTTTGTTTTGACTTGTTTGAAACCCGATATGGACACAATTAAAAAGAATGTATGATGTAGTAGAAGAAATTTTACTAGCTGGCCCTTGGCGCCTCTAGTCCTATCTGAGTACGCACGTGCGGTTTGACACTGCGCGTGTACCGGCCTTTCGTTGTACACTCATTTATAATTATAATTTACCGTTTTAGTTTGCTGTGACTTGAGTGTAAAGCGTAACGAATGTGGATGTGTTCGTCTGCTATGCTTGGTATAATATTGCTTGGTGTAATAGTTGCAAATCTTGCTTACGTTATAAGTATAAGTGTCACATAGTGTGTTAGAACTTAAAAGCTTGGTGCTTGGTGCTTGTCCAACTGGAATGAAGACATGCATTTCATACCTACCCGATCCATTTTTATTAGGACCGTGTTGTGTTGATATGACATGTTGATATATCTACTGTGGTACGAAACAGGGAGTTGCTAGGTGTTACGTTGGGAGCTATAAATATACATAATTTACATGCCTTTCTGTGTGACTTCAATCTTATTCCAGGTGTATCTCGGCTCATGGTTATCGTAGGGTGATAATTCTTTTTTCAACCGGTCATAAAAAGTCTCCTCTCCATTGGTTATAGGCTCGTTAGTATCGTAAATTGTTAATTTATTCTTAATTAGTAATTTAGTCGGCCCGCACGCTCATTTTACCTGTATTTCTATATGCGCGGATCAGAGCAACTCACATAATTGACGTCACAGGTTCAAATTGTTTTGGCTGGATATCTCGGCGCGCGAATGAAATACAACTTTGCGGATTTCACTAAAGTGGTTTATACGATTAATGTAATAAAAGGATTTGCACGAGAAAAAAACTTTTTCTAAGGTCCCCTCATCCTTTAATTGATGTTTTGGGACAAAGTGAGAGTTTAGGATGAAACTTTGATGCTCCAGAACAAACTTTAAAAGTCCCCATACTCTTGAGCAATAATTCTGTAAACTGCAGCTTGATTTGCAAACTCTAAACCATTCATACTTCATAGCATTCTCGATAGTCATTACAGCTCTTTGTTCAACTCTAATGGTGTTAGAGTCATGAAAAATCCGTCATCTTTTGCATGGCCAGAAGCTCAACTTAAAGCTGCAGCTATTTTTTTGAAGGTAATACCAAAATGTTTCTTCATACATGGGCGGCCATTGTTATGAATCTTTTGACTATCAATTACACCTATCTTTCATCATCATCACAGTTGAACCCCTCCCTTAATGGGATCTTGAGGCACGGGTCACTTGTCCCTTTTCTTGCAAGATATTTGTAAAATCTTGCGTGAGGAAATTATTGAATTTATTTTGGCGAATCACGCTTTGTCGAACAATTGAACAATTTAAGAAATCTGATCGATTAAGTTTGTCAATCCTTCAGAGAAAAGGTTATGGAAAAGCTTCATTAATAAATTTCGACGCAAAGACCTATTGTATATATTTGGTAAATAAACTTTTAAATTTATAACAATGATTAAATGAAAAATAAAAAGCAAACAATTTTAGCTTACCTTATGTAGATTACACGCTGTAATAGCTAATACAGTCTTCACATATATGTACCTAGCAGAGTGGTAATGAGTATTATGCTATTTTAACAACTTGATAGATAGTAATAATGTAGCACGTGTTGAAGTATACAAACTAACCTCTGATGTTTTGAAATATATGAAAAGTTTTATTTTTGCTGTTCATTTTTGCTGTTCATCAAGCATGAAGTACACTGTACAGCTATATATTAAATATATTATAGTATGCAAACATAAAGGACCAACATCTTGGTATGTACACTGTACAGGGTGTTTCAAATGTCTTCCTAGGATGTACTTTTTGAATAACGTTTTATCTATTTGTTTAAACTTCATTCTGTAAAAAGGTAGTGGTAGTTCTAAGGTTTAATGGCGACTTCTGAATGGATTTCACGTTACCCTGGCCACCATAGCAACCATATCTCGGTTGCTAGGGGACTGATATAATTGATATTTTATCTGGAGAGTGAAGACTTAACCAAAGAATTATACTACTTTCGTTTATAAAAACAAAATTCTAAATTTCAATACATGTTATTAAAGCATAAATTACAAATCGTTTACAATTAAAACTGTGCGACGTTAACATTGTTAGACAGTTGTAATATGATGAGAGCTAAAAGTGATGAATGAATCTTAGCGAGTGCATTTTTCAATCCCAAACCTTAATCAATCATATCTACAATTAAAACCCTTTAACTGTATAAAAAGCAACAAACAATAAATGAGATTTCAAATTGCTGTTTTCCCAATTTTGCACGCTCACATTATATTACACAATATATCAGTACTCAGTAGTTTAGAAGTAATTAATTAATTAATATCTAAACTATTCAAAATAAGTATAACGGCTTCTCTCATTCAAAAATCAACAAACTGACCTTGATTGTGTTTACATAATAAAACCAACCATTGATTTAGCGCCCCAATTTAGCGCAAACCCCGATTTCCCGCAGCCCATTCCCTTCCCCAATTAAGGGCTTATCAATTATCATACATTTACTGAAGCTGTTCCTTTCCCCAAACTCCGTGGTAAATTGGGGTTTTAACTGTACATGGTTTATAACAGCCAGGTATTAGAATACCTAATGAACAGTGAACAATCTGGACATGCTCCTATATCAATCCAACCAGCTATAGTCCTGCCATGCAGCTAGAATAATAATTGTGAAAAATGTCATCTGATAAAGAAAATGTTAACGAGAAGAGTTGAGAATGCAATTGTCCGAGGAAAGAGAACCGACCATTCTCTGAGCATACCGTGAACAACCAAGATTAAGTTTCTCCGTGAATTAAGAGTTCTGTAAATCTTCGTAACATTGTTCTGTGACCAAGGAAACATTGTTCTGTGGAAACATTGTTCTGTGACCCCTATACCAAACATTAACATTGTTCTGTGATTTAGAAAGGCATTGAGAGTCTAGTCTCCACGTCCACGTGATTTAGCGTTTTCTTGAACTGATCGAATGTAACGAATATTTCCTCGTCATCATCATTGATATCAGCTCCTGAAAGTGTGCATTAATTAACTCAATTAATTAACTCAATTAATTAACTCAATTGAAAATTCTGTGTATCAAATTGCCATGAGAAGCTCAAATAAAATTATCAAATTCCTTAGTTTTCGATCGGGATATCAAAATTACCTGCTTCACATATACAACTACTACTTAACTTCTACTACTACTGCTACTACTAGTACTCTAGTAGTAGACTTAGTAGTAGTAGTATATGAAAATTACCTGCTTCACATATACTACTACTACTACTACTACTTCTGCTACTAGTAATAGCATACTAAAATTACCTGCTTCACATATAGCCCGCATAATGACCTTCTCCATCTCCTTATCTTGAACTGTAGTTCCAACTAAACCCGCCAGAACCTAGGGGAGAATGAGTAACGTGATAATAATATTATCAGCTCGTAAGCGCGTGGAAATGAAGAGTTTTACTAAATTCCTGTTTTTCCCACATTCCTTTGAACTTGAAGCATACCTCGTGAAAGTCCTCTTTACTGAGTTTCCCATCTTTGTCAACATCGTAAAGTCTGAAGAGGAACTTTATCTTGCCCTCTCTGTTGTTGAACTCTGTGACTGTCCGGGAACGGATCGGTCGGAATGTGGAAAGTAGGGTTGCAAACTGAAAAAATGCAAACTTTAACAGTGAAATATTCGGTTTCAATTACATACCGCATATTATATCGTCTATAAATGTGAAATATCGGTGATCTCCCAACTCCCAAGCAATCATATGTCTACCAAGTACCAACCTGGGTAAAGTTGACCTCATCACTTTCCCAGAAGAAGGCCTCAATGACCCTGTTACACAGTGGGTTTACACTAAACTCTGGAATGTTCTGTAGATCTTCCCTCCGCAGAACTCCGGACCGGGACTTATCCAAACACCTGACAATTTGTACTAATTATTATATTTATCCGAGTAATTTGGATACTAGGATGAATTCAATTACACTAATAATCTGACAATCCTAGATGTCACACCAGAGAGGGGAGTCAGCAGCACTTTGCCGCATTATTTAATTAGCTGTAATGTGCGGTAAAATGCTGCGGTGTCCCAACAATGTGCCCTGTATTATACAGCTGTATTGTAGCTGTATTGAGTATGACAGCCTCATATTAACTATAATGAGGCATTTAAAATATGTGTAACGTAGATGTAAGTTCACTGCATCAATTTTTATGGCAATGTGAGCGAAAATAACAAATTTCCTACACATTTACATCTTGCTGTGCTGTGGTTATTTGTAACCCCGAACACAGAATATGAGTTGCTACAAATTTAAGCTGAACATGATAAAACCCTAATTTTAAATCTTATCGGCTACGTATGAAAGGTTAAGTTATTAATCTAATCGATTAACTAATCAATTAAGTAATTAATGATTAATTACTAACGCGAATCTGTTGTAAAGTCTGACGATCTCCCTGGTTGTAAACCCCGTCTTCTCAGTAAGGGTCTGTACCTCGTCTGGTCTTAATAATGAGGACGTCTTGCTTCCCATCACACAGCCTAATTAGATGATGAGCTGGTTAGTTAATTTATTAATTATTTAATTAATAAGCTACATTTTACTAATTAATCTAGAGTAACTGACTATTTTAGGCACCATTTACCGTATCATCTATCTATTTTTATCATCGAATATCCAACTATTACTTATAAGGAATTTTCATATCAAGTGCAGGAATACAGTTTAAATTTTACTTGATAAAATTGATGATAATGAGATCATGCATAAGATTTCAGACACGAATTTCAAAATTTCATAAATGTTATAAATTCCATACGTTATAAATACAAGATCAAAGATAATTCAGATATTTAAAATTCAAAATTTATTTTATACAGTATCTACCAACAATAAAGTAATCTACTGAGAATATCAGTAAATTTCTTATTATCATTATCATTATATCGCCATGTATTGAAGAAATAATTATCAAATGATTTCTTTAATTTGCAAACAAATAACAATAGTTACACCAAAATGCTTCAACTGATTTAGAATAAATACCCAAAAACACAAACGCTCAAAATATACAATAAACAATTCAAGAAAGATTTAAAGAAAGCTGAAATGTACAACAAATAAATAACAGATAGCTTCAGTATTAAACATAAATATCAAAATAATCTTAAGTAATAATAAAAGAACAATAATTTATCAATTAAATCTTAGAGCAGTCAATAATCAAAATAGTAGACTGATTTAAACTGTAAAGATCGAATTCTAAAAGTAAATTAATATTTTAAATCCTGCAATTTCACTTCTTCCCTTGGTTTAACATAACTCACTTTCACTTTCATTATAATTTTCAACATCACTTTCACTTTTTCTTTCTCATTCTAATGAAGGTAAGGTATGCACGTGTCTCAGTGCTAGATGTTTCATATCCCTCAGAATGTCCGGTGTAGCCCACACACTATCTTTACCCAGTAAACTATTCAGAGAATGAAGTAAAGATCCCGTTGATATTGCCTGAAATGCGAGGTATTAGTTCCATGGCTGTAAAATATTCATAAGCGTGGTAAGAATGCTGCAATCTTCTTTGTTGAGAAACCAACCATATTCGGTAAATACGGCCTTAAAAATATCATTGAGCACCTGCTGTACAACGGCGAGAAAATTTATCAAGCATTGCAACAATATGTTACATTTTAGTTTTCCATTCAATTCATAATAAATGCAGGGTTTTGGCAAAATAGCTTTGATTCTGAGCACACGAATAGTCCCTTCTAGATTGTTGGCTCTAACTAGTAAGTAATATCTATCTACAAAGTGTTGACATTTGGCCAAGCACGTGCCAATGATTGGATTACTAAGGCCCCTTTTTCGGAACAAATTACAGCGAATTCCTTCACAAATAGAGCCAAGAATTTGGCATGATTAATACTGATCTATAAAGTACGTGTTGTTAAGACTCAGCGGGTAGCAAGCAAAGAATAACGATCATCACACTACCTCACTGTGCAAGATTAAAGTGATAAATCTCAACCAGTCGTTATAATTCTAGTCAACCTAAACAATCAGTTTACTACGATATTCTCCTTCTTCAGTCCTTACTTGCTCAGCAGAAGTTAAGTTATCCAGGAAAGTGTGATCAATATCAAATGGGTTAGCAGGAGGTGGTTCAGTAGTCAACAAGACCAGTTCTGCTATGATATCCCAGATAGTGATACTATCTACCATGTATCTTGTCATGCTCAGTAGATCTATTGGACTGTCTCTGTCAACTGTTCCGTACATCTCACACCTGGGTACACGTGTGGTTATGTGGTTATGTGGTTATGTGTGTAGTGTGTAGTGTGGTTATCATCTGTAGACTGTAGTGGTTTATATCAAATGCATTGCAGTGGTATACTGATATGGGCTTATAAAATATTGCTCATTTTAAACGCTCCTAGTCTGAACTGAATTTAACAGCAATCAATCGCATTTAAGGAAAAAGTTAGATTGCAGGAAAATACTGAATCTTGCGGTCTAAAACTCCGCCTACCTCTGAACAAGTCGCTCATGTCCGGTTCTAACCCACACAAAGGGTCTCCTGTAAGTTTCGTAACACCCGACTAGATAAGAGGTGTACTCATCGTCCTCAAAACTGGGAGTGTGCCTACAAGGACTGGAGGGTGGGTGTTCTCTGTCTATCATCACTGGGGTGGGGAACACTGGTTAATGGGGTGGGGAACACTGGTTAATGGGGTGGGGAACACTGGTTTATGGGGTGGGGAACACTGGTTAATGGGGTGGGGAACACTGGTTAATGGGGTGGGGAACACTGGTTAATGAATAATGGGGTGAGGAACACTGGTTAATGGGGTGGGGAACACTGGTTAATGGGGTGGGGAACACTGGTTAATGGGGTGGGGAACACTGGTTAATGGGGTGGGGAACACTGGTTAATGGGGTGGGGAACAATGGTTAATGGGGTGGGGAACACTGGTTAATGGGGTGAGGAACACTGGTTACTGGGGTGGGGAACACTGGTTAGTGGTTAATGGGGTGGGGAACACTGGTTAATGGTGTGGGGAACAATGGTTAATGGGGTGGGGAACACTGGTTAATGGGGTGAGGAACACTGGTTAATGGGGTGGGGAACACTGGTTAATGGGGTGGGGAACAATGGTTAATGGGGTGGGGAACAATGGTTAATGGGGTGGGGAACACTGGTTAATGGGGTGAGGAACACTGGTTACTGGGGTGGGGAACGCTGGTTAGTGGTTAATGGGGTGGGGAACACTGGTTAATGGGGTGGGGAACACTGGTTAGTGGTTAATGGGGTGGGGAACACTGGTTAATGGGTTGGGGAACACTGGTTAATGGGGTGAGGAACACTGGTTAATGGGGTGAGGAACACTGGTTAATGGGGTGGGGAACACTGGTTAATGGGGTGGGGAACACTGGTTAATGGGGTGAGGAACAATGGTTAATGGGGTGGGGAACACTGGTTAATGGGTTGGGGAACACTGGTTAATGGGGTGGGGAACACTGGTTAATGGGTTGGGGAACACTGGTTAATGGGGTGGGGAACACTGGTTAATGGGGTGGGGAACACTGGTTAATGGGGTGGGGAACACTGGTTAATGGGGTGGGGAACACTGGTTAATGGGGTGGGGAACACTGGTTAATGGGGTGGGGAACACTGGTTAATGGGGTGGGGAACACTGGTTAATGGGGTGGGGAACACTGGTTAATGGGGTGGGGAACACTGGTTAATGGGGTGGGGAACACGGGTTAATGGGGTGGGGAACACTGGTTAATGGGGTGAGGAACACTAGTTAATGGGGTGGGGAACACTGGTTAATGGGGTGGGGAACACTGGTTACTGGGGTGGGGAACACTGGTTAATGGGGTGGGGAACACTGGTTAATGGGGTGGGGAACAATGGTTAATGGGGTGGGAAACACTGGTAAATGGGGTGGGGAACACTGGTTAATGGGGTGGGGAACAATGGTTAATGGGGTGGGGAACAATGGTTAATGGGGTGGGGAACACTGGTTAATGGGGTGGGGAACACTGGTTAATGAGGTGGGGAACACTGGTTAATGGGGTGGGGAACACTGGTTAATGGGGTGGGGAACACTGGTTAATGGGGTGACGTGGGGAACACTGGTTAATGGGGTGGGGAACAATGGTTAATGGGGTGGGAAACACTGGTAAATGGGGTGGGGAACACTGGTTAATGGGGTGGGGAACACTGGTTAATGGGGTGGGGAACACTGGTTAATGGGGTGGGGAACACTGGTTAATAATGTTATACTCGGGATGTTTGTGATGTTTCATCGTGTTGTAAGCCTCTTTAAATTTAAGTGACTGTGCGTGCCCACTGATCAATGATCAATTTAGAAACTTTTAAAAAATTGAGTTAGGCCTTTAAAAGTGCTGAAATTAATGTACTTTAACAGTTAACACATAAAAAACATATTCATTAGTTAGAATGGGTTTATCTAAAGTTAAGCCCTTTACAAAGAATATGTAAATTGAATTATTATTTGGAAATATTCTAATAAATCCTAGATTAAAGATCACCGACCCAGTACTGACCCTCCACCGACCCTTTGGCCACCTCTCAGCGATCCCCGGCAACCACCTACCAATCTACATTTTTCGAGACTCGAGTAAAATGTGTTTTACAACTTATTTTGAATCTACATCTTGAATTGTCTGGAAACTCGGTGTAATAGGAATACATTAAAATTCCACAAGTTATTTGATGTGTTAAACTACAAAATTGTGTAATGCAACATTATACACTACACTGTTGAATAATGCAACGTGTGAGAGTACCTAAAGGCTGCGAATTTGGCGAACTGTTCAGCTTAATCGCAGTGTTTTTTTCCTTCAAATTTGCCATAAATCAATTTTAGGCAGGTTTAGGATCGCAGTATTTGCAAAATTTGATCACACCTATTACCTATATTTTGCCTCTGCGGCCCAATGGGATATTTTTGGATCTAAGCCAAAACAATAAAATGTGGCAAAAACTAATCACAACGTATCAAAAGATCTGAGAAATACCTGGATCAAAGTTGACAAGTTCCAGCCTATCAGTAGCCACATTTTCAGTTTCTTTGTTAGAGTTGAGCACTGTAATAACCAGCTCCTCACTGCTCCTCAGATACATTGTGAAGTGTTTGAACCCCTCCAGGCATCCCACTACTTGCATCTGAGTTATTTAATTTGTTAGTTACTTTTATTTAACACTTGTAATGATTGATTACTTTTAGTTTATTTGACCAGGAAGAAATTCACACAGCATGTACTATATAAATTCATAAGTAAATTGTGTGATGCCGTTTTCGTTAACTACAATATTCTTGTATTTTTTGTTTTCTTGTTATTGAAATATGTATCTGATGAGGTCACGAGAAATGTATTTTAATAATACGTTGAAATGTAACGTACACGAGAGTAACACATTTTCAGTCAATAATACTACCCCTACTATGTAAAGTATACTATACTGATTCAAACCTGGCAAAAGAGTAAAAACAATCTTAACTCAAAAAAATTGTAAGTTAACTGAAATAAGCGGCTACAAAGTGCAAAAGTGATGGACCGTGAAGATGAAATTTAATCCACCAGTAAACCAGCTTTTAAGTCTGCTATATAATACAGGGGAACAATATACCGCGGAAAATTGTGTTATCACGTACGTGCTAAGTGAACAGTATTGTGAACTACAAGATTAACTTTCAGGCAGTAGAGGCAAAATATTTTAAAATGGTTTAAGTGGTTTAGTCAACTGGCCGGTTCCACGAAAAGTTCCATAAAACGATTAATGAGTATCATATCATCAAACTACATCACGATACAAACTGGGAATACAATAACATTGATTCCGAACAATAGATTCCGCCGGAGAAAACATAACAGAGTTAAATCTAACAGCAATAATTCTGAGAAAAACGATTTCTCGGGTATATGATTTAAACATGACGTAAAATATTCTGAATTTCGGGCGTGATTTTACGTTTCTCCTTTCAACACAGTCGTGCTATATAATAATAGTTAGATAATTACTTAATAGTAAATAGAAACATGTGCTGTTTTAAGGATTCAAGATCAAACGATCAGTGGGCCCCAATGTCGCACATTGTCAAGTTAAGGGACATTTAAACCCTTGTAAGTGTTTTTACCAGCAACCTATCATGATCTTCTATTTCCGGTTAAATTTGAATGGTAGAGAATGCTATATTCATGTCATTCATTATAACCGACTAAAGTGGGAGTCAGTGTAATCCAGACTGATAGATCTTAGCAGGTTTGCAGAATCGCTAATTCTATTACTGGTTGCCACGTAATTAATTCTTAATGTCATTTTAATAGTAATAGTGTCAGATCCTTCATTACTTTTAATTACATCATTTCATGGCCATCGTCTGACGTCTCTACTAAACCTACGTTTCCTCTGTGCTTTAGGTTCCTTGAACTCTTGAACTAAACATTGGCTTCCTACTATGCATAAATATTAAATATGCTCTATGTTCCTAACAGGCTTTCAGTTCCTTCTAGCAATTAAACGTACCTTTCATAGGTGAGAGCTCTCTCTATTCTAGAATACTGGGAAAAATTGTTGGTTTACCGGGAAATACTCAAAATATTGAATATGTGAAATATCACTTGAGATCTGGTCATGGACTTAGCTAGCTATGTTGCACATTCGTTTAACAGTTGTTTTTCTTATAGAATTTGCTTGTGGATCTGAAAGTCTTCATAGAGAGTCAAATACCGGTAGTAATTTAACTTAAATCACTGAAATAAGTGATTTAAGTTTTTTTAATGCGTCATTTAATTGTAATCATTGCGTTATTTAATTGTAGAGAGAAAAACACGTACAATGTTTCTGAGGGAAATTCTGTGCAAGGTACCGGGAAGGAAAATATTTATGAAGTGTCTAGACATTTAGTTCCTTCTAAAATTATTAATAAATTTCGTTTGGTTTTAGGTTCATTTCAGGAATAAGCTTCCTACCAAGTATGTTGGTATTAGGCAACATTTACCAGTGCAGGTATAGTGTGTGTAACATTTTACGTTATAGTATTATACACTCTCTCGTTAAACATAAGCACTACTACAATTGTTAATTATAATTCTAACTCGTGCTTTAGTAGCTGACACTAGCCCCAATAATCCTAATACAATCCAAAATCTGAGGCCTAGCTTCAACCATGGGGTAGCGGGAGGGGTGAACTTGTGTGGTAGATTAACCAGAACTAAAAGTGAAATATTTAAGTAAACAAACCCACCTCTTGAGATAAAAGCAACATCTTCCTCCTGTCTGGAACTACCAGTTTAGTTCTGGTGATGGAGCTACACACACTCATCCTACTCCTAGATACAGGTTAATTATGTAATTATCTAGTTAATTATGTAAATATCTAGCGTAATTACTATGTTATTTCAATGTAAGTAGGTGTGTAATTATAATTTACAAATAAATCATGTATACTCGTTTCTTGTTTTAACTATTAGGAATCAGTGTTAAAGGACAGAATTAGGAAAACTTTCTGAGGTAGGTTAAATAATTTGTCGGCAGTTTTTTCTTTCATATCATTTAATTTCAGACAAAAATGAAACAACCATGATTAGAAAAAAGCCAAAAAGTCAAACCCACATAATCAAAAAAGCCAGGTATTTTAGAACCCAAACTGAAACTGAATGTGCTAAGACTAAAAAACAAGCAAATCAAGCCAATGCAAATCCCGCGTGATCTAAACACGAACTTAATATAAATAAGCAAAAGGGCGTTACATTTATTAATTCTAAAACAATTTAGTCTCAGATTGAACTTAGTTAACATATAATGTTTTAGAATTAGCGGTTGGCACCGAAATCTTTTCAGGGTGACTGGACAATCAAATATTATTTTCTTGATTACTGTTACAAATACATTTCATAAATAGAATCATTACTTAAATTTAATTGAAGTTAAATTATCCACTGTACAGTAAAAATGTAAAAACTTAACATTAACTTATATTAACTTATATTGGTTTAGACCTGATATCATCACTCATTAGGGCAAAAACACATACTATGATTAATCACACACACATATTTGTATCTTATAATATTAATATGACGATGTGACACATTTAATTTTTATCGCCGATAGGAATTCCAACATACGCTGATTACACCTCGGAATATTACGAGAAAGGGGAATCTGCTAAAATATGCCGGAAAATACCGTATCTGAATAGTGGAGTAATGGTCGGAATTGTAATTTACAGATCATAATATTATTATGATGATGTGAGTAAAATTTAATGATTTGTGATCACTGACACTGACACAGGATGCCTCTTAACTTGATACTAGGATATCATGTAACATCGTCCTTACTCCTTATTTAATATTTGAACAACTTTGTATAACAGAGTTATGGACGTAAAAGAAATTGTGGTACGTGTTTAAAAGATCGTGCTTGTACCTGATTTTATACGAAAGCCCGAAAGGGCCCTTGCTCTTAACTGAAAACATGCTACAAAAGAATTTAATAATTCCATTACAAACCCACAAAACCCACAAACATAACATCCAGATTCCAGTATCTACATATAACTATCTACCATCATCCACCAATATAATGTGTAATCTCAAGTTCTTCATAATTTGATCATTAATTAATGTAACTAAGCCCTTGTGCAAGCTACAGCAAAATGAACATATCAAAGTTATCAAATCATAACAGAACACAGTAAGTTTTACTTCAGCAAAGGAAAAAGCGAACTAAACCCTCTAAATTAAACTGTATCAAAATTCCAAAACAACAGCAACGCTGCAAACAGCAACGCTGCAAACAGCAAACTGATTTTATCACAACGTTTAACATTCCCACAGTTTGGGTATCAGATCTTATATCCTAAACCGCGTACTGATGCAGCTGAAAGTTTAATCTTGAATAATAACACGCATGGAATACAGTGCAGTTTCAACATATACAATGTACACTCGGCACAGTTATAAGTTTACGATCCCTTTTTGTTTCTCATTTCTTTAAAGGATTGTGCAAGGCATTTTCTGGTCTTCTCGAAGACGTCTTCAGTCGACATGATGTTGTCTTTTCCAAACGCACAAAGGTTCTTCTCTATGGCTTCCTCTGTGTATCTGAAAAACATTATATAAACCATACAGTTTTGAAGAGCTCTCTAGGCATATATCAAAACATCTTCCCGCCGTTTTGATATCTTAGAATAAGACTAATAAGTTTACCTCAGTTACCTAGTTAAATAGAACTACCTGAGTATTCCATGTCTAATCTTGTTAATGGTATCCAGATTTGGTCGCAGGGACGTAAAGAGAGGAACTTGTACTGACTTCTCTTGTCCGGTTCTTATCATCAGGTTCAGAATACCTAAGGAGTATCGGGATCAGTGTTATGATTATATAATTTATTAATTAATTATATAATTATCAAATGATTTAGCAGATTTAGCAGAGTTGTAGGAAAGATCAGACGGATACAGACAGCATTTAGAATAATGTTCTGTAGATGTTGTCTCTGCCAGTTCGACATTGATTAGATTTCTTCAGACTTTCTGATGGCTAAGTCGATCAAATTCCTAAATACTGTTCCATTATTCCCACAAAATGGATCCTGATGATTCAAAGTGTTTGCCAGTGATTCCAGGGACCTTTGTAAGAAATTGGGTGTCTAGTAGGTGTCTTAATCAGATTGCAATGTAAACCTCGTATAGTAGGAATTTTTCTAACTATTCGATATCTTCTAAAATTACGCAATATCACGCTCATCCAAGTATTTGTGGACAGTCCAACTCAGAAACAGCGTTTTTAAATGAAGGGATATCCCCATGTGCCCCCAGTCACTGCAGCTAAATTCTCTTCACATTACTAAGCTGATTGTTTATTGATTCTGACTTAGTGGATAGTGAACAAGGAGACAAATGATCTTTCGAAAAGGCAGCATCCTGTAGAATATAAGAACCAGCTCTTTTAACAGTGTCAATACCCATTTTACTGAATGGTACAAGTGAAGCATTAACATAACAATTGAACTGATCACGGAACTTTTAAATGATAAAAATAAAGTAAAAGTAAAAGAATGAGCTATACCGTGTACTCTAGATCCCATAATGTTCTCAATTACCGGAATACCCAGTAATCTGTTGAGAGGCACAGACTGGAACATCTTCCTTCCTGGTCAGAGGTTTCAGTTAGACGCAAATTACATACCTATTCGTAATGAGTAGTCCACTTTTGGTTCTTTGAGAATTTTCAATATGTATACGTAGTAATGAGACAAATTATCAAATATCACTAAATTCACTAGTTAATTCACGAAGGTACCTAGAAGGGTGGTAGCAGAGTAAGTGATGCAGGTATCTTTGATAATCGTCACTGTCTCCTTGCAAACTTTCGAGAGTTCGTAGTACAACATCAATATAATGGACACTGTAAAAGTGTTACATATTATTTAGCCATGCTGATTTATGGGCGTTATACTTTCTTGTTTAAAGTTCTAAAATATAAAATGTAAAAGAATTTTATAGCATTGTTGGCAAGCACTTCTTTTGAAATAACTATGACGTACTGATAAGAAATTACAAAAGTAAATAACTTGACTTTAGAATGACATTAATCTAAATCTTAAATAGCTTGGATACGATATGATCAATAAATTTATAAATTTTTAAATAATATAAATAAGTTGTTTTGTAATGCATTTTTGTTCAAATACCTGAAACAACTACAATGGCAAGTCTCCTAGCCCATATCATGCTAAGCATGGCTGCAAACACCATAATAACCCTGAAAGAGATCATGTTTCTCTTTCTGTTTGGGAGCTCTATCACGTACTGCAGAGACAGCTCATCTTGTTTTGTTGTCAGGATTCTTACAGAGGAATTGGTGCTGGGTATATGTATCTGCTCCTTTTCCATGCTCCTATAATGTGGTATAACTGTTAGGAGATGTTTGCTGTACTAGGGGTAGTATCGATACTTTCCCGTAATACTGAACTTTCTAATACTTCTCTTATTACAAGATGATGAAATGGAAATAATCATGGACTCATTTGAGGTGTACATATAAATAGTGTGGTGTTCAATATATAACAATAAACAAGACAAACCGTCAAAATATTATGTTTAAAAAACTTGCATTTAACAGTAACGTGAATCGTCTCAGTTAAAACACAAAACATCAAATTTAAACAACAACCAACTATTTATCACGCACAAAAATCTAGACACCTGGTCAAAACTTCAACATGAATACCCTAGTAAAATACTAGGTAAACCAAAAATAACATTGTTTTTAAACATGTGAGTTGTACCATAATATAACAAACACTCCAACAGCAGGATACGAATAAGATTTTAGAATGAACATTAATTCTGGCCCGCTCTGCTAGTTATCCAGTAAGACTACACCATAAACTACACCGTATAACCTTATTAGAGCCGCTAAACCACGACCATCTGGTTAAAAGTAGCTGTTTATAGCTGGTATTGTATATAAATAACTTGATCTCACAGCGTTCGTGCTAATTCGATGTGGTCCCTTTCACCTTATTCATGAAACTTCTAGGGGGGGGGGGGGGGGCGCGGGCCAAGTGGATATTTGTAGATATTTGTAGATTAATGTAGAGTGGATAATCCACGAAAAAAGTGGATGACATTCTACAAATTTATACATTTATCTCCAAAAATTCAGTAGAATTTCTGGGCACATATTTGAGATTACATTTTTTGTAGATAAATGTAGATATTTGTAGATTATTGTCAATGGATAATTCACGAAAATTCTACAAATTCTACAAATTTATACATTTATCTCAAAAAATTCAGTAGAATTTCTGGGCACATATTTGAGATATAAATTTTTTGTAGATAAATGTAGATATTTGTAGATTATTGTAATGGATAATTCACGAAAAAAGTGGATGACATTATCCAAATATCTACAAATATCCACTTGCCCCCCCCCCCCCCCCCCCCCCCTTCTAGCATGGAGCATGTTAATTTCATCCTAATGCTTAATGCAGCCTCAATTTCAAAACCTCTTGAGGAATTTAACAAGCTCGTGACAAATATTCCGGATGTTTTTGGTTATAGGGGTAAAGAGAGGTTGCCAGAAATTAACCATGTTTTATACAACTTCTGAGTGTTTCTTAGCCAGCATTATATTGTATACTTTATAATTATTCTTTCCAATTTAATCTTTAAAATCGAGCACTATAACACTGATCACAATCAAAACATTTGCGATTTGAGTCATACCAGAAAATTTAATCAGACCAAAATGCTAGAAGCAAGCAAATAAAGAAACTGTACAGTAAAGCATAGAGGACAGCCCTTAGGTTCAAATCACCATATAAGCACTGATTATTAGTGCACGAATCAAAAACTTCTTCTTTCAAGAATCGAGATGGGCTAAAAATATCAGTATTTCAGGATAGAGCTGACGTCAAATGTCTTCTGAATTATTGAAACAAAATTCTCTACGTTTGATAAAAAATGAGAGAAGATTACATCTCCCTTATTCTAGTATTAATGAAGGTCTCTATTTTACTTTTAAACAGTTCACTGTCGATTGTCTCCTGGAGTGAGAGCAGTGGGTTCTTTACCGCGTATTCAACGTACACCTGGCAGAGATTGAGTATGTTAAAAGCTATAAAATATGAAATTTGATACACATTGAACCCCACAATTATCCGTACAGTAAACCTTTTGTAAACCCGTGTAATCTGATACACAGTAAACTCTCGATTAACAGGCCTTTTCGGAGGTAAGGGTGATCACACAATCGAACCACCCGATAAATTGCGTTCAATTAAACTCAGATTATTCAAGTTACAATTTCGTTTATAAATGATTCGTGTCCCCACGTTGAAAATGTTTTAACAAGTATAAATACTTTTTTATACTTTTGATGTGGGGACACAAATCGTGTCCGATAAATCAAATTACTAATAAATTGCAGCCCGGTAAATCGAGAGTTTATTATACTAATAAACTTTCGCAGTTCAAACTTCAACATTACGAAATAATAATCGGAAATTTGACAAAATAACAAATACGAGAACTACATAATATATAATAATATTATAACAAATATATAACAACAAATCATGCAAGTAACGAGTCGTAACACCGTAACAATACTTATACACTTGTACTTTACATAATATAATACAGTTCCTTATTGAATGCAGGCGCGTGAAATAATAATTTATAACTAAACATCAATGTTTGTAAATTATCACATGACGATAGTACGTTATCCAGAACTGACCCCCCCCCCCCCCCCCCCGGCCCCCCCCCCCCCCCCCCCCCTATATGTTACTACCACCTCGCACGTGAGGTATTAGTAAATTAAGTTGCGAAATTACCACATATAATAACGACTCGTGATCGTACTACTACTATATGTGGTAAATTTAGTATTTAATTTTATATTAATGAGGTAGTATGTATTTGCTTTATCACACGTTCACGTCGCGTGTTCACTTAAGTTAGTAACTATGAATTAAAGGTAGTTTGTGATGACAAACTTTTACAACTACAAATTAATACTTAATAACCTACAACATAACTGACACATGAATCGTTACAAATAAAAGATACAATGTTCTAGTGGAGATTTCAAGTATCGTATATACGTTAGTGGGCAGAGACGTATTAATAAAGAATATTAATACGAATTTGAAAGGTACCATTTATAAATACGTTATTAATTTGTCAGACATACTGTCGAATATTACAATACGCATCAAACCGAACCAGGAATGGAACCCGGGTTGCATAATGTGTGTAACATTACAAAATAAACCATTTCACCACCCAGCTGACTCATAACAATTAATAATTACCTCTTTATAAAGAGAGTGCAGAATCTCGCCGACAGCCTGCGCGCTCCACTCCGGACTCGTGTTCATTACAAACTTACACCCGGAGGGGGTCTCGTACATGGAGAGTTTGTAATTACTGGTTTGGTAGCTCTGAAAACTGTCAGATCTAGTGGCAAATGTTAAGGAAAAACAAAAGGAACTTTTGGTAAGAGCTAACTTTACTGACGTCAATACTTTTGAAAAGAAAAACAAAAGCTCTTTGTGTTTTGTTCACACTAGTATGTAATATGTATTCACATGTCAAACATGTATACATGTATACTGTATAGTATTAGTTTTAAATTGCTAGACAATGGAGGTCAACATAATTGATGCTACTTTTAATATTATTTTGGATAAAATGGCATCTTTAATAATAATTACTGGAAAATGTGCTGCAACTTAAAAATTTAGTTGTTTTGTAAAGGATACATTGCTGGACTGATTCTCGATACAAAAGATTTCAGAGAGTACAGCATCCCGTAAACAAGCTTAAATTCCTGCAGATATAGTTAATTGATTGTTTATATTTATAGCACAAATTGGAAAACGTTCACTTTTATGGATGGAAAAAACATATTTGGGCAATTCGGTAGTGTGGCATAACACGGTTAACGCACGGTTAAGGCACGGTTAAAGCACAGTTGAGGCACGGTTAAGGCACGGTTAAGGCACGGTTAAGGCACAAGGGTTACATAAGGCACGGTTCTTAAGGCACGGTTAACGCACGGTTAAGGCACAAACTGCCCAAAAGCAAACATTAAATGGTCGCTTAAGAAAAACACGGCATGGTATTTGACCATTTTACTGTAAACACTGCTTGTTAAAAAACTTATACCAAATACAGAGTTATGTAACTAACACAATATTCAGTTTGTTAAAAAGAATCTTTATTAAGAATGAAACTAACCTCGTCTTGGCTCATGTCTGTTTCTTTAGTTCTTTCCCACTCCCCATAATAAAGGCACTGCCCCACAGGGTTGAAAATATACAGGTTATAAATCATACCTTCTATCCTTTTTATAACATCTTGCCTGATGATGGATTATAAGATTACACGGTTACTCTTACAAATATTTCTTTACATTTTACACCAATTATATTAAGGAATATATACAGCTTAGTTAGAATTTATTGTTATTGTTATTTTATTTTTGCGTTACAGTATTCAAACAAAGTTTGAGTAAACGGAAAAAAAATGCACAAAATAAGCTTCCAAATATCTAGTAATCATGCACAAAATTTCAGTAGCTGATACAGCTGGTTCAAGTAGGTAGTACTAGCAATGCTAGGGTCTCGAAAACAAACACAGCTAAGACTACATGAAATTTCAGAGGGTCACATATTTCAAATACTAGGCTCCATTCATAGGACCTGTTATGATATCTCAGATAGAATTGTTTCAACCTGAATCAGATAGTACTAACCATCATGTAAAATGCATCGTCATCTTGTATAAATTGTTTAATGTTTTAAATGTGCAGATCAATATTTTAGCAGCTCGTCTGAACCTCTTAGTTGGCTTAACAAGGGATTGTATATCAGTGAAGTTATCGAATCTGGTAATAATCTCTAGACAATAGGTGCGCCCTTCAAAAAATTGAAATGAGACAATTTTCGGATTTGTACAAAATGCTGATGCATGATTCATACGACACAGGAAGGTAAGTAGCACAATTTTACTTGAGATTTCTCAACAGGCCCTAGTTGCTTGATAACATAAATACAACAAGATTCTTTTAGATAATAGAGGTTATCCTGAGGATCACAGTCGGACAACTCCACTTAAAAATGAAATTTAACTTAACTTAAATAAACTAAGAAAGGTACTTAATCTTTACATTTACTATGATGATTACAAAGCTTACTCTATCCAAATGACTTTATCGGCCCTTCCTCTTCTGATTTACAACATTCAACAATGCTTTGAGGAAGTTTTCTGGAAGAAAAGAAGCCTCTCATGGGACCACAAGTAGGGTTAACGCACATGGGACATCGAAGAGCCATCTGAGGAATTGTCATTCCATCTGACTTGAGGTGGTCAGCAACTAGTTCTGTCAAACACTCAATGAAGGTGGAATGCATGTTTAGAGACTCACACCGCATGATATTTGCATCTGGAAACTCATTTCGCATATCTTCACCATATTCTATATCCATTTCATACAAGGTTTCAATGTGATCTGAAGTGAAAGCGATGGGCACCATCATGAGATGTTTGTTGCCATTTTTTATCAAACCCTTGATAGCATCATCAGTAGGAACACCCAACCATTCAGAGGGCCCAACTTTACTCTGCCACACTAATCTGTAGGGATTTGAGTAGTTAAGAGCTTTCATGACATGCTCCACAGTGGCTGCAACCTCTTGGGGATATGGATCTCCTCTGTTAACCACTGACATAGGTAAGGAATGAGCTGAAAACAGTAAAACAACTTTGTGTCTATCTTTGGGGTCTACTTCATCAAGCTGCTTGTTGATAAGTTCAGCAAAAGATTTCACAAGAAGTGGATGAGTAGCCCATCTATCAATTGCTGAAAAAGTCATGTTCATTGGTTTACCCTCCTTTTGACGCTTAATTATGTGTCTATACATTCCATTAAAGCTGCTACCAGAGGTTGAGCAGCTGTATTGGGGGTACTGAGTAAATGCCACACAATGCTCAATACCATCAGCCTCCATCTGGTCCATTGCATCTTCTGTTAGTGGTTCAGCGTATCGGAATCCAGTATAATTCTTTACATCTAATTCAGGACAAAGCTCAGATACACGTTCAACCATAGCATTACCTTGCTCCTCAGTCCACATTTTAATTGGGGAACCTCCTCCAATTTTATTGTACTGTTCAATAATCTTTGGGGTTCTCCTTTTAGCAATAAACCTTGGAAGAAGATTGGTTTTTCCACCTTGCAAGAATGGGAGAGGAATTAGATCTCTATCTGAGAAAAGTCGCAACAAAAATGGATGTACTGCTGCTGAAGTTTCTGGTCCACCAAGATTTAGCATAAGAATACCAACTCGAGGTCGGGCTGTAGAATAACTTCTTGTAATGTTTTTCAGCATTTTGGTAACTTCCTGTGTAAAATGATAAATTCAATTTTATACTTTTGAAAAAACTTACTAGGATATAACATGATCAGTAAAAGAATCAAAATATTAAATTGTGATTAAAATTCACTAATTGAACAAGGGATTAAGTTGGATTCAGTTAAACCATTTCACAATTTCACAACACCCTGATGTTGACAACTGAAATCACTGATTTTCTACAGTTGAAATTCCAATGCAGTAAAACCTCTCTATTTTGTGCAAGTACGGGGGGAAACGAAAAATGTAGCAAAAACCAAGTCAAGAATTTAAAATTTTAAGAGGATCGAGAACATTTTAACTGTCAAACAGTATATATACAATAAATAATAATAATAATAAATACAACATTTATAGGTTAATTAACTAAACTTAATCATATGAGTAAACCACGGTGTTATTGCAAAGAACCATGACAAGGGTATCAGACCTATATATTAATCTAAGAGACGAAACAAAACGAATCATCATACAACAAATTTTAAAATCCTGCGGCACAGGATCCTGTTGTTTTCCTACTCTGCCTCTCCCAAACCCCTCTCCTTCCCCTTTCTTCAGGTTTATTCTTCAATTTTTTAAATTAGATAGCAGATATATTTTCTTTCGAATTAGTAATGGCATTATACATTATTTGGTATCGTATGTATGTTGTGTTTAGTGTTTGCTAACTAGGTATGTGCTGTATATTTTGAAGAATTTTGAGGCTCACGACGTCTCGTCCCATGGGTTGAGTTGTAAGCTGAGTATATGTTCAAATCGCCTTACTTCGTATGGTGAAACATCGACAGGTTTGCCTTGACCTTTCGGACGAGTGTTTGCCCACCGGGGATCAAAAAATATGATCACCATGAACATTACTTTGACACGTGAACTTATCAAACGACTGTAATGATTCCATTAAATTTTCTTAGTATATTTAGCTAGTTTATAGTAGATACACACGATCACAGAATAGAAGAGCACAATTGGGCTCTTTGTTCTGCGACCGTGTTTCCTCGGTGGGCCGACAGGTTTTTGTTGTGTAGTAGTGCTGGGGAAAAAACACGCTTTAAATATCAATGAATGTAAATATTGTTAATTGACATTAGTGCCACAGTTTATGTGGTAAAAACAAATTTATGGTCAAACATTATATATCGTAGAAGGGCATGATTTACCCACATCACTAAGCATCTGGATGGATAATTAGCACACAAGGATAAACTGACCTTTAAACATGACCACCAGCTATACCACGTAATCATAGCTCCAAAATAAATAAATTGCTCTACATAGAAACATCTGGCCTGATCTTATCACATTGTGGTCCCCTGGGGTTCGGTAAAGCCCTTACAGGCAACTGGGTCCTTTTACCAGCCACAATAAAACTAGTCATGCCAGTACTGTCATAAACTGTAACCAACTATTTAAAAATAAGATATCTTTTGCTAGAATTTGACATTTTAAGCCATAGAGCAATCTTCTCAATTTTAAAATTTAAAAATAACATTTTACCCTAACTATGATGTGGTGGCATTTCATACTTAACTAAAATTCAACTTTGAAAGTCAATAGATTATTAGTCACAATGAAATTATAGTTTAAGACATCCATTTTGCATTGTGTTTCCAATATTAGAATTTATGATATGTATTGATTGAATAATTGGTAATAAATTTAACTTTTGTTTTATTAACTTTTGTTTTATTATAAACCGCCTTATAGCTAAATCATATAACTCGATATAATTTAATCCTGGAGATAAACTCCAGTGCTTTCTAAAGCGGCTCTTACATTAACTGAGCTTAGTTTAATTGAAAATTAGACATGACAAGTTCATTTTACCTATGTAAATGCAAAATCAATCAAATGCTAGAGAAAAGAAGTATGTTTTAAGTTTGGTCTTTTTAGTAATTCAAGTGTTGCAATTGGCAGAGCACAATACAGAGGTAACGGAAATTGTCCACTGCTACCAATATTATATAATATGAAATATCAACAATCAGATATATACACATCTACTCCATCATAGGGGCAGGGATGAGGTTATAAGAGACTTCTGATAGTGGTGTCTCATATTTGCTGTCCATTTTTTTTCCTCTGTACCCTCGTAGCAAAAACCCGTAACAAAGTATTATCTATTTTACCGGTTTCTGTAACCTTTCAGATAACACGTCTCATATTTCCTATCAGGGGCCATATATTGACATACTGTGTCGTATTTTGTCACCATCAAATGCCATGTGAAAACTGATAAATCACATGTCATGCATGTGCTGATTAAACACGGGATGAAAAGAAGGAAGAGAATGAGTACGACATGTAGAGGTTCACAGTATAGTAAAACAAATTTTAGTAAAACAAATTTAAATTTTGGTATTTATTAATAACAATCAAAACATATCATATCATAAAAATAAAGCCGCGCGTTGGTTGACTGCCTCAGTATGGTGAATAATTTAAGCTTGAAGGTGCCTTGCGCATTTACAGAACATTATGCGGCAATCACATGATCACGAGGACCTGTGAGCGCCAAATTTAATTTAAACTTTCTAGAAATCGTACATCACTACGAGTTACTCATGCTTTTGAATTATAGGAGTGCGGATTGTCAGGTATTTCATTCATTCATACTTAATCGGTTTAAAGCTGTATATTTAGAGCTCACTATTGTTTGAACTATGAAAGCAGAACGTAAATAATAGACTGACCTGAATTTTCACTTTTTCGTCCGATCATCTTGGAAAGTTTTTTGTACATCCCCATAGACGTAAATAGTAACCAAAAAAATTATTTTTGAAAAATTCGGAAATTAAGGTGTGCCCCAAGCCGTTTCCATGACAACCGCGCTCGCGAACCTCAGAAATCTGGAAAAATTCGATATCTCAGGACCCATTGCACCTACAGAGCTAAAATTAGGCTTAAAAGATGCGGAATCAGCACATTTATATGAGACTTATTAATAAACATATAGCCTAAAGTGCTCACTTTCGTCAAAAATTGCAAAAAACACATTTTTTGTACATTTCCATGGCAACCGCGCCCTAAAATTTGGATGTGCATCTCTATTTTTCAGTCAAACTATGAACAGCTCAGAACTACAGGGGGATAACTACAGGGGGAGAACTAGAGGGGAGAGAACAGCTCAGTACTACACCTGAGGAAGAACTACAGGAGGGAGAACAGCTTAGAACTACATAATTCTGAGCTGTTCCCCCATGTAGTTCTCCCCCTCCTCTGTAGTTCTCCCTCCTGTAGTTCTGAGCTGTTCCCCCATGTAGTTCTCCCCCTCCTCTGTAGTTCTCCCTCCTGTAGTTCTGAGCTGTTCTCTTTCTGTAGTTCTGAGCTGCTCCCCCTGTAATTCACCCCCTGTAGCTCTGAGCTGTTCTCTCTCCATGTAGTTCTTTTGAGCTGTTCTCCCCCTGTAGTTCTTTTGAGCTATTCTCCCCCCTCCCTGTAGTTTCTTCTGAGCTGTTCCCCCATGAAGTTCTGAGCTGTTCCCCCTGTAGTTACCCCTCCCCTGTAGTTCTCCCTCCCTGTAGTTCTGAGCTGTTCTCTCCCCTGTAGTGCCCCCCCTGTAGTTCTGAGCTGTTCTCCCCCTGTAGTTCTTCCTCCTGTAGTTCTGAGCTGTTCTCTCCCCATGTAGTTCTTTTGAGCTATTCTCCCCCCCTCCCTGTAGTTTCTTCTGAGCTGTTCCCCCATGTAGTTCTCCCCCTCCCCTGTAGTTCTCCCCCCCCCCCCCCTGTAGTTCTGAGCTGTTCTCCCCCCTGTAGTTCTCCTCCTGTACTTCTGAGCTGTTCTCTCCGCTGTAGTGCTCCCCCTGTAGTTCTGAGCTGTTCTTCCCCTGTAGTTCTGAGCTGTTCTTCCCCTGTAGTTCTTCTGAGCTGTTCTCTCCCCTGTAGTTCTCCCCCTGTAGTTCTTCTGAGCTGTTCTCCCCCTGTAGTTCTTCTGAGCTGTTCTCCCCCTGTAGTTCTTCTGAGCTGTTCTCCCCCTGTAGTTCTCCCACCCTGTAGTTCTGAGCTGTTCTCCCCCTGTAGTTCTTCCTCCTGTAGTTCTGAGCTGTTCTCCCTTGTAGTTCTTCTGAGCTGTTCTCTCCCCCGAAGTTCTTCTGAGCTGTTCTCTCCCCTGTAGTTCCTCTGAGCTGTTCTCCCCCTGTAGTTCTCCCACCCTGTAATTCTGAGCTGTTCTGCCCCTATAGTTCTTCCTCCTGTAGTTCTGAGCTGTTCTCCCTTGTAGTTCTTCTGAGCTGTTCTCTCCCCCGAAGTTCTTCTGAGCTGTTCTCTCCCCTGTAGTTCCTCTGAGCTGTTCTCCCCCTGTAGTTCTTCTGAGCTGTTCTCCCCTGTAGTTCCTCTGAGCTGTTCTCCCCCTGTAGTTCTTCTGAGCTGTTCTCTCCCCTGTAGTTCCTCTGAGCTGTTCTCCCCCTGTAGTTCTCCCACCCTGTAATTCTGAGCTGTTCTGCCCCTATAGTTCTTCCTCCTGTAGTTCTGAGCTGTTCTCCCCCTGTAGTTCTCCCACCCTGTAGTTCTGAGCTGTTCTCTCCGCTGTAGTGCTCCCCCTGTACTCTGTAGTTGTGAGCTGTTCTCTCCCCTGTATTTCTCCCTCCTGTAGTTCTGAGCTTTTCTCCCCCTGTAGTTCTTCCTCCTGTAGTTCTGAACTGTTCTCCCCCTGTAGTTCTCCCACCCTGTAGTTCTGAGCTGTTCTCCCCCTGTAGTTCTCCCTCCTGTAGTTCTGAGCTGTTCTCCCCCTGTAGTTCTGAGCTGTTCTCTACCCTGTAATTCTCCCACCCTGTAGTTCTGAGCTGTTCTCCCCCTGTAGTTCTGAGCTGTTCTCTCCCCTGTAGTTCTCCCTCCTGTAGTTCTGAGCCGTTCTCCCCCTGTAGTTCTCCCTCCTGTAGTTCTGAGCTGTTCTCCCCTGTAGTTCTCCCTCCTGTAGTTCTGAGCTGTTCTCCCCTTGTAGTTCTTCTGAGCTGTTCTCTCCCCTGTAGTTCTCCCCCCCCCCCCCCCCCTGTAGTT